CAGATTTCCATCACTGTGACAAATTGTCTGAGATTCTCATTTTAGGAAGATGGAAGTTTTGTTCTGGCTATAGTTGTAGTTTATGGTCAGTTGGTCCCACCATTTTCAGGCCTGTGGCAGCACAGTACATCATAGTAGGCATGCATGGCAGAGGAAGCAGCTTCCCTCATGGCAAGAGAGCGGCACAGAGAAAGAGGAAAGGACTAGAATCCCATTAACCCCTTCAAGGGAAGTCCCCAGTGACCTAACTTCCTCCCACCAGGCCCTGCCCCTTAAAGGTCCCATCGCCTCCCATGGTGCCACAGCTGGGACCAAGCCTTCAACATGTGAGCCTTTGGGGATATTTCAGATTGCTTGGTCTGAATTGCTCAAACCCATCAGCCTATTATTAGAGTACATCCATTATTCTTGGGTAAGACTGTGGAGAAAGGGGGCCTGGAGCCAGGGAAAATATCAGCACCTTCGGGTAAGGAACTTCATGTCTGTAGATTGTGACACTTAGAGCTGATTCAAGAGACTCTGATGTACCAAACACTTTCATGATGTCTAGGAAATGGGGTAGGAACCATTGCTTCTACATGTCCGAATTCTGTGCTTTTCTTTATTTTGTTTAGTATAATTTGAACTGTTTCCAAACTATTCTTATCTACCACCTTCCAAAGAGGAAACTAAGTAGGCAACCTTAACTATTTTGGGCTTCCAGTCAAAGCATGACAGAGTATGTGTAGAAAGCAAAGAATTTCATTTATTCTTAAGGAAGGAACACACATTGGTTTTCTTAATTCAGCATGTATTCTAGAATAAAATTCTAGAAATACTGTCAGTAAATATTCAGGATAAAAAATGTATAAATATTAGAAAGGAAGAAGCTAAAGTATATATTTTGCAGATGGCATGATTGCAGACCTAGATATCTAATGAATCAACTAAAAATCACTAAAAGTAATGAGTCCAGGTGCAGAATTTCTAAATCCTGCAAAAATTCAGTTGTTTGTATATATTATATATCATATATGTGTTAACTGTTTTTTATTTATATGTATATGGCAGTATTTATAGTAATATATAATGGAAATAAAATAAAAATAGATTCATTGTTGATACTCCAATAAAAACAGGTTAAACACAAAAGTATTGATTTAATTTCTAACAAACACTATTCTGAGAAATGATATAGAGTTGTTCATAAATCAAGTGCTATACCAAATTAGAAAAATAAATACAATAGTTCTTCCTACTAACACTAACATGTAGCTTTACCTATTAAAGCTTAAGTTAATTTCAAGTTATTAATAAGTTAATTTCTTATTTCCAACAAAATGAGTGTGATTCTTCTGATATAATAACAAGAAGAATGCCAAAGACATTTATTTTACAAGATGTAAAATTTTGGGAATGTAATTCCAGTGTGGAAGGCTGAGGCAGGAGAATCAGAAGTTTGAGCCCAGCTTGTACAACTCAATAACTCAGTGAAACCCACCTCAAATAAAAAAATAAAAGAGGCTGGAGAGGTGGTTCAGCATGAAGGCCCTAGGTTCAAATCTCAGTACTGGGGGAAAAGAAAAGATTACTGGTTCACCTTTTTTTTTAATATGGTTTTGCAACTAAATTTAAATATATATATTACAAAGTGATAATTATAAAGGCAACGGAGTAATAAGTTGAAACAGAATAAAGTCTTCAAGTCAGAAACATAAATTTAACATTAATTCAACTCAGAGTTTAAAATATGATGAGTCAGGAGTTGAGCAGGTGAGGAAAGGATTTGATAGAAATGCTACTGAAACAATTAGATACTGGTATAAGGAATTATTTACATAAGTAGTAATTAAGAATAATACTTGGAATCAGCTTATCTTTGGAAAATCTTAACATTCTTTGGTCTCCTTTTTTTTACCTTATTAGTAAAATGGGACCCATAATGCCTATCTAGAGGGAATTTTGAGGAACAATGAAGACAATGTAGGAAAGCACTTAGCATAATACCAGAAACATAATACACAGTTATTACCATGAGTCAGTGTGTTAAATATAAACAACATCGAGGGCAGGGACCAGGGGAAAAAATGAGAACCAAGCCCTGCCGTGTAAAGGTACAAGATCCCAATAATGAATGTAACTGTACTGTATACCTAAAATGTACCAATAAACTCAATGAGGAAAAAAATCATAATAATAAAAGACACATTCCATTAAAAAAATAAATAAAATAAACAATATGTAAGTATAAATGATCTAGAAATCCAAATAGAAAAACATTTTTTGTCCCCATAGGGGAGAAGAAACAAGTTTCTGATCACAGAAGCCTGAAGAATATTAGTACAGACAAAATGAATTTCCAAAAACTTTAAAAGCAAAGTGAAACAACCTGTAAACAAAATTTGGTATGGATGGTAAACACCACCTGTTGAGCTCCTAAGATGGGAAGCTTTGGAATGGGCTGGTTCAAGGCAGCCAGTGGAGTGACGGATGGAATTTCAAGTTGGAAACTCACTCTCTCTTGAGCAAAAGTCCTTCCAGGGATGCCGGGGAAGGAAGTCACAAGCCTTCTGTGTGAGCCAAAAAGCCACGAAATCAAGCAAAGGCAGACCCTTTCCCCTCTGCCACTCTTTCCCAGAGTCCTACACACCTTCCTGCAGAAGAGCTTCATGGGCTCAGTGGGTTTGTGGTTCTCCCTGGCAACCCAGCAGCTGAACCGTCTCCCTCTGGCCACAGAAGCAGCTCACCTACTGATTTCTGGCCAATTCAGCAGCCCCGGTCAGCCTTCTGCAGCCGAATCCATGGCCACTGTCCTCTTTGCCCTTGACTCCATCTGATCAAATCTCATTTACTTCCTTATTTTTTCCTCTACCTATCTTGAATTTCATATTAGTTTCATACTCACAGTCCAGCTAATAAACCTTTGCATAGTTCATACCGCTAAGGTATCGTTTCCCGGTGTATTCACTGTTGCTGGACCAAATTCCTCCTTTCCCTTCTTCCACTGGTGAACTCCTTTATCTTTTCTGACTCAAAAACTTGGGGAAGCCTTCCTCAGCACATCATTCTCCCAAGCATCCTAGCAGCCTGTGCCTGTCACCATAGTTTCCAGGCATCTTTGCTCTTGGTGTAATGCTTAGCTCACAGTGGTCCTAAGAAAGCTTTGTGTCGGCTGCCGTTCTCCAGCCCACTGAAGGCCACTAGTTTGGACATCACTGTCCCGCTGAAGCTGTGCATCCTCCTGTACACAGGGGTTCTCGACTCTGATTGCACACTGGTAACTACGGAGGAGCAAGGAAGCACTGCTGCTCCCCCATTTCCCCCGGTGACACCCCGCTCCCAGCCTCCTCCACAACCCCCACAGGCTGGGACTGTGTTCCCGCTTGCACTTCTCCACAGGCGTGGCGCTTTAAGCCACCCCCGGCGCGGAGCTGGCCCCAGAGGCCCCAGAGGTTCCCAGGCACCTACATCACTCGCCTTTGGTTCTCATCCCAAGAGTGGCACTTCAACTGTCACTGCACCTGATGGTGACCCCTTAGAGGCAGAAGGTAACGTGACAGTGATGCGGAGGGTCCAGTGTGAGTCTCCAATGTTCATACTTGTAAAAGCCGTATTTAAGGAAAAGAGCAGGAAAGCAGACATTACAGAGTGGCTTGGCTCTTCCCAAGGTTTTGGAAGGAGCAGTGCCTAATGCCACACTGTGAAGTTGAAGCTTTCTTAGCTTAGAGTAAAGCTGCTTCTGAGACTGGTAAGCACCATTTATTGGGTCAGTGGGGACCAAAGACTTTTCATGCAGGACTCTGCTTGTAACAAACAAGCCAAGGTATAGTATTCTCATTTTAAAAGTGAGGACTCTTTAGCCCAGAAGGGTGTATATTGATGCCCGTGTCACACACGTGGAACTAGAACTCAAACCCACCTCTGGGGAAAATGGGGCCTGAAGGCCTTGGAAGCCCCCTGTATTAATGGTGAAGTGAAACCCTTCATATGCCCTTGCCATATTCAGCTCTCTGAATATGGAAAAGTCTCAAATAGCGGTCTCCAAAATGGGGGGAAAGGGAGATGGACAAGGTTATTAGGATGAAGAAAGAAATGATCCGAAATTTGACCTATATTGACTTTTACTTTTACCTTCTAAAATGGCCATGGATGTTTGTGTTTGATAAAGTATATATTATAGAGTAGTGCATATATATAATTTATTAGTCAGTACTGTTTGTGGCACAAGTTAAGAACAATTCTCTGGGCCACACCACCTGGGTGAAAATCTTGGGTTTATATCTGTGTGTCCTTTGGAAAGTCCTTTCTGTGCCACAGTTTCCTCGTCAGTGAACTATTTTGGAGAGAATAGTATCTGCCATACAGGATTACTGTGAGAATTAAAGGACTCAATACACGCAGAATATTTAGAATAGTGCCCTGCAATAGTTAAGGGTCTTTTCTAGGATGAAGGCAATGATTATAATTGTGTGTGCATTGAAACATACTAAGGGTATGTTCTCTACCCCTCTCTTCCTGACTCTAACCAAGGCAGGATGTGATTTTATGTTTGGCAATTACTGCTCTAACTATTCAATTGACTCTTTAGAAGCACAGAAACAAGTTATGTGAGGCCAAGACCCCTCCCCAAGCTCCCTTCTGCCCAAGCCAGCTCAGCCTTGGCATCTGGACTTGTGCTGCCTCGTGGCCCAGTTCCACAAGAGCAGGCCCTGGCATGAGGGGTTGTTTCTTTGTGCTGTCCCCTGGCCCAGTGAGCCCAGGAACACACACAAAGGGCTACACAGAAGTTCCCTTGGATAACTGGCAGATGGACAGGCTGAGAAACAAGGCTCTGTTCATAGCGACCGCCTGCTCCGTCCACCGAAGAAGACAGAGGTCTATGTGCTGGGGCCACCCACTGCCAGCAGCCCAGGAAACAGCTGCTGATGCCTGCACAGAACCCCTGTCACTTCAGGTCCAGGCTGAGGCACTGGGAAGTGAGGACATCGGCTACAGAGAAAGGAGGAAAGAACTGCACTGACCTTTGCAATGCTGGCTGCCCTTCTTTCCCCTGCTCCTCTTTCTGGTGATGACCTCACGGTCTCACCCTCCAGCAGCCCCAGTGCCCGAAGCCCAGACGTCTCTCCTGGGGCTCTCTGGGCTGTCCTCTCACTCTTTCAGAGAGATTTATAACTTATGCAAATACATGCGGATGATTATGTAAATGATGTCTTCCCTCTTCTCATCACAATTGTGGTAACACTAAGGGAAAGTAATGATGACTGAAAGATGGAACATATAGTCAACATGTAGAAGGGAAGGAAGCTGGAATTTAATCTAGACACACTGTGGAAAAAGTAAGAGATCACTGACCCCTCAAATTTCCATGAAATCTTTAAATCTGTAGTAAATTATAAAATCTGATTACCTATATCCACTGTGTTTTCCCATTGGAATTAGTTGCTCTTAGAAAATAATCAAGCAAACTAATTGCTATATTTTATCAAAGCTCATACTATTACATCGATCCTCTGTGAATATTTTACATCGAAAGGAAATTTCCTGAACTACCTAATAAACAAAATATCTCTACAGAGAGAGAGCCAAAAAATTCCATTGTTAAATTGCTCTTTGTAAACTTCTTTCCTCTATTTTAAAGAATGAATAAAGCTGGCTTTTCATGAACCATGTAAGAATAAACACTTGGGTTTTTAATGTTGAAATGGGAGTATACTTACTCTTGCAGGCTGAAAAAGAGCTACAAGACAATTACGCACATTTCACATAATTTTTTGAAATCTGAGAAAGGTAACTGAAAGTTAAGTGCATGATGATCGCTGGGAATCTAATAATGAATACTACTGCAGCTGAATCCCTATCTCCAACTTTCACCTACACGTGCTACCTATAATTTATGAAAGTGACCCAAATCCCAGCCACTCACAAGCTCCAGGAGCCCTCAGAACATTTTGTCTGAAGTTATAGAAACAAATGTTAATTTAGAGAACCACTATTCAGCACGGAAATTAAATTCTATTGTTTAAAGTGGACTCCAGTTTGGAAATGTTTAAGGAAACATCTCAGCATCACCACCTGGCGGTGGGTGCAGAAAATATCCCACTTTCTTTTTGGTTTTGATTCATTTCAATAGTCCCTCCGCAGATTTGTTCTATTTTCTCTCACAGAGCCTACATCATGAGATGTTCCTGAGAATCACCTGGGTAATTAAAAATTCAGAAGGGTAGCATAAATTAGATTTTCTGCAAAAGTTCAGTTCTCAAAATTTTATATATTTTAATAACAAATATTCTTGGGCTGTATTACTATACATTATTATTGTCTCAAGAAAAAGGATCTGATTGTACAAAACAGATAATTTGATCTTTTATTTTTGGTAATATTTTTATGTAAGGCACAAATAAGGTAAATTATTGAATTATGATGGTGTCTATAGTTACATGTGGATGGATAAGGCAAAAGTTAGGTTACCAGTGGAAATTAAGGGTTGGGTTGTAGCTCAGTGTCACCATGCCTGTCTGGCAAAAGCAAGGTCCTGAGTTGGAGTTCCAGTACAGGGAAAAAAAAAAACTAATGGAAACTTAACTTCTATATTATCTTTTTTCCTTTTTGTACCAGGGATCAAACTAGGACCTTGTGCTTGAGAGGCAGGTGGTGGAATCACTGAGCTAAATCCCCATCCCTACTTCTATATTACATTATGCTAAGCTGTGATCGTTTTGAGACAGACAATGGATGAGAAGTCTTTCTACAGCCTTTCTGTGGTGTTCCTAAGATGGCCTGGGCTAGTCCCCAGGAAGGAGAACACAGGGTGTGACATTATAGCATGGTTAGTCTAAGAATAGGGGTACACTGTGTTGAGCACAGCCTATGTGTAGGTTCCACACATAACAGGCAATAAAACACCTTAAATGCCTTCCTATAAGGAGCTTGATCTTGGGGAGGGGGTATAGAGAATAAGCAAATTTTTTAAAATGTGTAGTATGTCAGACAGAAATCATGCTCTCACAAAAATGCAGTGCCAAGGAGACAGGGAAAGTCCATGAAATAACCATTTAAAGTTACTTTTTTTCAGGCTGGGGATTTAGCTCAGTGGTTCCGCTGCCTGCTTTGCAAGCACAAGGTCCCCAGTTTGATCCCTGGTGCCCCCCCCATTACATTTGCTCATCAATTTTTTTTGTCACTATAACAAATACCTGTTGCGGCTCTCTGGGGGGACCCCGTCCCGCGGGGAATACGAGGTGAGAGCCGCCTCTTATTCGTGGGTCATCAGAGGCCGATCCGATCTTGAATGTCTGTGAAGGAAATCTTTAAGAAGTTAGAGTACACGGCCCAAGTCTGGTTTCTGATCAAAGGCGCTTTATTGGCTCAGCAAAACGATTATATACTGTTATCCCAGGGGGAAGGTTCAGCAAGCTTATTGGACAGTTCAAGCAAATCCTCTACCAATCACATGAGTCATTCAAGCATTTAACCATACAGCAATCAGTATTTTACCAAATGTGGGGAGGGGTAAGTGGGAAGGCGTACATCAACAATTAACCCTATGCAATCTTTAACTTCACAATCCCTAGGGGCAAGTAGGACGGGGAAAACACCACCTGCTTCCTGCTCCAGATCCGGTGACCCTGTGGTTAGCACAAAGGGCTATTTTTTCTGTAAGATTTCCTGTTTGCCCAGGGGCTAGACCTGCCAAAGGTCACGTATGTAGTCTAGTGGGATTTTTCCACCGAGGCAAAGGCTAAGGTTGAGGGCAGCCATCTTATGCAGGCCCAAGCAGTCTCTCACAGTTCCCCCTTCTCTGTATAAAATTAAGCAAGATTAGGGTGGAGGGCTCATGTCTTAGGCTACTTGATGTGCCTCCGGACCTGGACGTGATGCATAGGTGTTCCAGCGAGTCACGCTGCCCCCAGGTACCGGCATCAAGCTAATCCCGTCGGAGACACCTCCACAGCCTGGAGCAGAGCGAACGACGGCGCTCAGCCATCTGTTCAAATTCTACAAAGCTTAGGGGTTGGAACCCATGGTCACCAGCGGGCTGGCTATTTTCAGGGTCCTGAGAGGAGAGCTGCTGGTAGTGCACTTGTATGGAGTGTTTGGTGGCCTCATCAACCTGGTTCTTAACAAAACTCGTGAGGCGGCGGAATGCCCATGGGCCAAAGGAAATCAACAGCATAAAGCCAATAAAGGGTCCTAAAAGGCTGGGTAACAGGGTGGACAGCCAGGGGGAGGTAGAAAACCAATTTTGATACCAAGATTCGTCCTTTTCCCGTTGCCTCTGCCTTTGTTCGAGGCTTTCCTCAACCCTTCTAATGCTATCATCCACCAGGCCCAGTTTATCTTTAAAAAAGCAACATTCTTAAAGAAGGGGGTTGGGGCCAATGGCAATGGGTTTGAACTGAGGTGGTTCTTTCAAAAGCCTGATGGAAAAGGTGAGACCCGGATCACGGCCGCTGATGTAAAGGCGAAGGCCCCACTCAACCTGACGAGTCCAGTGGTATTGTTTGCCGGGCGTGGTGGTGCACGCCCATAATCCCATAAAACTAGTCTGGATTACAGTGAGCTCCAGGTCGACACCCGTAATCCCATAAACCCAGCCTGGATTACACAGTGAGCTTAGCCTGGATTACACAGAGAGCTCCAGGTCAATCTCATCTGCATAGCTGAGACCCTCATCTCAGAAAAGCCAAATAGAGTCATAGATTGTGTCAATGCCTCAATGGTAGAAGTTACTTTTCCAATGTCAAATGCCAGCGGGCTCCCACAATTCCCCCTTTTTTATTATATTTAGAGCAGGGAGCTTCCCAGCTCAGCAGAAAGACTGTGCCTGTCTTAGGTGAGAAATGTCCAGAGAAATCCCTTACCCGTCATCAAGCCATGAGAAGTTCAATACTCATGCTCTGTCTTAGGTTGGATATTTCTCCACAATTCTCTTACCCGTCTTTGACTACCAGCCTCTGCAGGGGTTATACCATGGGTTGTGAAGGCTTGCCATGTAGCTTTTTCTACCTCTATCAATATTTATAATCCTTGTTCCTCATACCAGGCCTCACTAATTTTTACAGGCATCATTACAAAGAGAGGTTGCCTCAAACCCATCACAGAATGAAAGGAAGTCACCATTTCTGAGAATATACAATTGGTCAATTGACAATCAATATTATTAGTTTCATAAACAATCTCTATGAGCATTAACACAAGACATTATATTAGAGGCCTCTATGCCAACAATATTGAAACTAAGGCTAGTAACTTTGACATCTGACCATAAATGTATTTTTCCCAATGCAGCAGGTTTCCAAATGTTGGTTTGAGGAAAACCTGAATCTGTTTACCAAAGTCCTGCAGATAAGCTTAAGTTTGTGGAATTTAGAAGTGACCAGTCCAAAAACTTTTGAGATGTCTCATTAAATCACCAGTCCCATTAAATCCTCATTCTGGATAAAGAAGGAAAACCTTTTTGCTTTTTGGAATGAAATTTCCACTTGTGCACTGAGACACATCCTGGAGTTTTCTCTGCTGCTTCAGTGTTGGGGTCCCAATCCAGTCTCCTCAGTGGAAACCCAGCTTCAAGCTGCTCAAGGATAGTGATAGGTCTATAAACATATCTGTAACCATAATTAGGTGGAATAGAAGAAAAGGGAGAACACCTAGACCAAAAGGTTATTGTCATAAACAATATGTTGGAAAACCTGCATGGTCAAACAATATGAATACATTTTGTATACCAGAAAAGTAGCAATAATAATACTTATATGAAATCTTATGTACTGTAATGTAGCTTTGTATTAACAGGATCTCCCCCCCCCTTTTTTTTAACATATTTAACAAGACATATCTTTTTTATAGGGCTATGAAAATTATTTTGGTGGCTCCCATTAGTGAACAAAGATCAGAATAAATTTTCTGAGCAGCTGCTTCTTTATTTACCAACAGGAGCATATCCAAACTTAAAGGTTATATTTAATTATCTTTTAAGTTTTTTATTTGATCCTATAAAGCCAGGTTGTAGAAATCAACAATCTATTTGTATTTGACGTCATTCTGATCAAGAACATACAAACATCTTTGAACATTTAAGACAGACAAACATATAAGACAATTTTAATGAGTGCACTCAGATGGTTTTGGCCAAATGAATTATAAAATCTTTTTGTTATGACTAGTCAAAATTTTTGCAGATCAAAATTAACAGAGATCTCTTGTAGAATTAGGGTTAAAGGAACGAATACTCTTCTTGACTATAAATGTAAACCTTTTATAACAAACTTGAAACCAACAAGCAAACATTTTATAAATCATTT